GGATCCAGCTCATCCAAACCTCCGCTGCCCACATACTCCTCCGTACTAAACTCCGTACCCCCATCTCACCAGTTCTTGCCAGAATCCACTGGCCTCTTATCGCCAAATGGACCGACTTCAAGATCCTCGCACTCATTTTCAAATCCCTTCGCTCCCTGGCACCTCCCTACCTCTCCGACCTGCTTACCCCAACAACCCACTGCCTCCCCTCGACTGGCTCCGGCCTTCTGCAAGTCCCTCGTACCCTCCGTTTCACCATTGGTGGCCGCGCTTTCAGCCGCTACGCCCTGAAACTCTGGAACACTCTTCCTCTATCCCTTCGTCTTGTCCCATCCTTCCCCATTTTCAAGTCGCGCCTGAAGATTTTCCTATTCAACCGTGCCTAAGGTCACCTCCCCCACTGTCAAGCGCTCTGGGACGCTAGCCTGCATGAGGAGCGTTATATAAATTAGAGTTGTTGTGGTACACTGCAGGACTTTATGAGTAACCAATGTGGACAGAATGGGCCAACAGTCTATGTCTATTGGGGTGGGGAGGGTAATTGTGACCATATGCCATCTTGCTGCTCTGGGAATTAGAATGTACAGCAACGCATTCTGTTACGTCTACTCTCGTGACCGCATGATCTGCCTGCGTTGAATCCCACAAGTATAGCTCATAGCTCAGTCCCTTAGCAGAAGCATTTGTACAAAATATGTGTTGGGACATGGCCAAAGCAACAAAGCATTGACCCTGGGCAACACATTTGATGCAGCGCCTTATCATTTCTTCAGGGCGTCTCACAGAATATGCCGGATATTTTGTGGGCGAAACACGGCAGACAATTCTCGTGGATTGAGTAACCCAAATTTTTTTNCGTTAAAATATTCTTGGAAGGGATTATTACTCCCGGGAAAGCGATCTGCTAATTGACTAACAACCGGGTTCCAACTTGCTGCTGGGTAAATAGAGGCGTGCGGAGTAAGGAAACTTGCCCAAGGTTTTGTCCTGCCCGGGAATCGAACCCGTGTCCTCTTGTATAGCAAGGCGAGTAGCTGATATGCTACAGGACTCCACAAAGTACAGAGCGCTTTCCCAATCTTCCCTTCCAGTGCCAAAATATGGAAACAATAAAGCTGTTGTTTGCAGGCACAAACACACGCACAAATAATACAGCCCCCAACACGGAAAGTATTAACATTAGTTAACATCTACTTCTCCTACATTACCTGTCTCTATTTGTCTCCCTCTCTTTCTCGCTCTCCCTCTCTCTCATGCTCTCACTTGCTCTCTTACAAAGAACTTACCTCTGTGTAAAAAAAAGTACTTTCTGGCGATTGCCCTGAAATTGCCCTTTGCAACTATAAACCTATGGCTTCTTCTTCTGCTGACTCGATGCATCTGAACATATTGTTCTTAAATTGCTTTCTCAATCCCATTTGAAATCTTATCTAACTCTGTAAGGTGCCCCATGGCGACAACTCTTTTCATACTTATCTAATCGTTGCTCATTGCTCACCCCACTGACACTTTCTTTGTTGGCCAGACAAGTGTCTCACACATGTGGAAACCCCTCACCGTGCTCAATGCCAATAATAATGATAATAATCCTTGCGTTTGAAATAGCGTCTTATCATCTCTTCGAAACGTTTCAAAACGCTTCACAGATTATCCTATTAAGGGAATTGACTGTATATTTTGTGGGCGAAACGCAGCAGCCAATTATGCACGGCAGTGTCCCACAAACAGTCGTGGATTGAGTGACCAAATTATTTATTTCTTGAAGGGATTATTACCCCCGGAAAAGTGGTCTGCCAATTGACTGCAGCTAGGTAAACAGAGACATGTGGGGTAAGGAAACCTGCCTAATGTTTCACCCTGCCTGGGAATCGAACCCAGGTTAGCATGTGAATGGGATTACCAAAGCCACCTTCAAAGTCCTTCAGCAACAGCAATCCTGTAGCTCAGCAGTTAGAGCACTTGCCTCGCAGCGAGAGGCCTGGGTTCGATTCCTGGGCAGAGCGAAACGTTGGGCACGTTCCCTTACTCCACACGCCTCTGTTTACTTAGCAGTAAGTAGGAACCCAGTTGTTAGTCGATTGCTTTTCTGGGGGTAATAATTCCTTAAATTTTTTTTAAATGTGATCCCCTTTCTTACATTTCTCCTTCTACTTGGCTTGGTTACCGGTGTTTTCCGAGCATTTTCAGTGGCTTTGAGCTCACGGCCCAGGCTGATGCTCCAGGGCAGTGCTGAGGGGAGCATGACATTGTCGGAGGTGCTTTCCTTCGGACGATAAGTTACACCAAGTCTCATCACAGTCCTGTCAGTTAAGTGGCTTCAGCTGGTTAAACTCCACCAGTACCCTCTGGGGCCCCTCACAGATAAAATCACTTCAATGGTTGCGGGGAATTGCCGTGTACAAATTTATTGGTCATCTGCAAAATACGCAGTGAGTACACACTACAGTAAATCCAGCAAACCACTTTGAGGCACTATAGCAAATGCAAGGATCATTATTGTTGATGGGCGCTTTGCGACGTGCTAATGCTAATTATCAAATGCAAGGATTAGTCATCATCGTATTTGATATAGCGCCTTATCATGTTCTCTGGCCCACTGCTGTGAGCTGGTTACTCGCAATCAATGTACAATCATTCCCCAACAAAACAAAAAACCAGTTTGATGTGCAACACAGGTTTTGCATGAGAGCTCCAATGGGATGCTTGCCAGCAAATGGTTGGAGTCCTGTAGTGTGGTGGTTTGAGCGCTCGCCTCACAAGCGAGAGGACCTGGGTTCGATTCCCAGGCAGGGCAAAACCTTAGGCAGGTCTCCTTACTCCACACGCCTCTGTTTAACTAGCAATAAGTAGGAACCCGGTTGTTAGTCAATTGGCGGATCACTTTCCGGGGGTAACAATCTCTTAAAAAAATATAAATAATAATTTCATTCAATCCACGACTGTTTGTGGGACGCCGTTGTGCAGAATTGGCTGCCGCATTTTGCCCACAAAATATACAGGCAATTCACTTTACAATATATTCTGTGAAGCGCTTTGAGACATCTCAACAATGTGGAAAGGCGCTGGATCAAACGGAAGGATTATTATTAAGCGCTCTGGGACAATATCCGCTCGAAGGGCGCTATATGAATGCAACTTGTTGTTAATATTCAATGGCAAGTTAAGTGGCTTCAGCTGGTTAAACTCCACCAGTACCCTCTGGGGCCCCCAAGCCTTAGCTCTTGCCAACCCTTGCTTAATACTCTCCAGATTTAGATAAATATGGCATATCCCCCTGGGGAGAGAGCGAGCATTCCATCATCCATAAGAACATAAGAATTGTTCGACAGTCGATCACGCCATCCTCCTCCACCGCTTCTCCTCCCTCATTCAACTTAGTGGGACGCTCTCGCATGGTTCGAGTCCTACTTAACCAACCGCCAACCGCCAACATTTCATCTCGGCAAATGGTTTCTCCTCACGCCCTCACCAGGTCACCGCGGGGTATCTCAGGGCTCCATCCTTGGCCCTATTCCTTTGCTTATCTACACACTACCTCTCGGTGATGTCATCCAGTGTTTGCGGTTGACACCCAAATCTACTTCTCTTCCAGCTGCGACTCTTGCCTGATAAAAAAAAATGTAAAGAGTCACAGCTTGTTTGACGGACTTCAATGTCAGGATAAGCACAAATTTCCTGCAGCTGAATGTCGGCAAGACGGAAGCCATACTCTTTGGCTCCCGTCAACGTCTTCTCTCCTGCAGGTCTGAACTCCTCAACCACCACCCCCCCCCCACTTCCAGGCTCTCCCACAGACTCTTCAAACCCACGTGCAATTTAGGTGTCAAGTTCGATCCCCAGCTTTCTTTCCCCCCGCACATCCATTCCCTGACCAGGACCACTTTCTTCCACCTCCGACACATTGCCACTTCACAACCGACACAGCTGAGTTAGGGTTAGTCACTTCCCGGCTGGACTATCCCAATGCCCTCCTCGCTGGTTTCACCAGCTCCGCCATACACAAAATCCAATCCATTCAAAACTCCGCCACCCGGATACTGACAAAACACCATAGCATGAAGCATGGTGATGGGTTTCCGCCAGATAAAAGAAACACTGTAAAACGTCACAGAATCCATACCCCCGTTACTCAAAAATATTTTTTTATTTTATATGCACATCATAAACATTAACATAAATAGAATCGAACGGGAAAAAAATCTACGGATCAATCCAACATGTACAAAATTGAGGAGATACAATATATACAAACAGGACTATGTAACAAGAGTTTTGAACATTATATTACCATCAGCACAAAAATGTCAACAACAACTTGCATTTGTATCAACACATATCAATGCAAACAACAGCACAGCTCATAGCATTGGCGAATGGTGCCATAAGGAGTGTATAATGAATGGACGTGAGAAATCAGGGGAGAGAGAAAGAGAGAGGACTGTTAGGAAGGAAGAAAGAGAAGGGGAGGTAGAGAGAGGGAGGGGGATAGATGGAGATAAAGGTCTCACTCTTTCAAGGCTATCTTACCATCACAATTGTAGACTAAACAAGGAAAGGAGAGGAAGAGAGGTCATAAAGGGGGAGAGAGAGAGAGAGAGAGAAGGAAGAGAAGAAACAAAGTGATAGAAGGAGTAGGGAGGCACGGCAGAGGAGATGAGAGAGGTAGAGAGAGAGAAGGGGGGGAAGGAAGAGAAAGAGTGGGAGTGAAGGAGGTGGGGGTGGGGGGAGAAAGAAAAACAACAACTTGTGCATTTATATTGCGCTCTTCATGTGGGTGTAGGCTCTCAGGGTGTTGAAGAAAAAGAGGGGGAGGGAGAAGAGAGAGGGAAGAGGCTCTAAATAGAGGGAGAGAGGGGGATTGCAGAGAGTGTAGGAGTGGGAGTAAGAGGAGGTGAGAGGAGGAAGGAGTGCGCGGAGAGAGGGAGAGAGGAATTCCAGAGAGTGTAGGAGTGAGAGAGGAAGTGAGGAGAGAGAGGAGGAATTGTAGGCAGAGTAGGAGCAAGAGTGAGGGAGAGAGTGGGGGTGGGAGGGAGAGGAGTGGAGGGGAATATGGGCATCGATAGTTGTGGTGCATCATTGTGGTGCTTCCATCAATACCAGAGCTCAGAGTCCATATTGCATCAAACAAGGTGACTGGAGAAATGACAACCAACGAGCGGGTGAGGAAAGGTTCTCAGGGCATTGAAGAAAAATAGGGGGAGGGGAAAGAGGGTGCAAATAGAGGGAGAGAGGGGGATTGCAGAGAGTGTAGGAGTGGGAGTGAGCGGAAATGAGGAGGGAAGAGAGGAGGAGGGAGGAGAGTGCGGAGAGAGGGAGAGACAGAGTGTGACAACTTTGTGACGGGCATCAGGGAGAGGAATCGCGTCAGTGAAAGGTCACGGCATCCGGTCACAACCGCAGGTTTGGGCGGTAGGAGGAGAGCAGGGGAGGGTGAGGGAGAAAGTTCTCTCTCGTCCTTCCAAGGTCATCTTGTCCACGACGCTACACGTTCAGACTATACAAGGAAAACAAGAATAAATAACGTTACATTGAAAGAAAAAGGAACACATTCCATGTCTTACTGAAGCAATGGTGTTTAGATGTGTTTGGAAATAACAACAACAAACAACAACAAAATTACATTTATAGAGCGCCTTTCACATCGGGAGGACATCCCACGCACTGGACAGACTGGGGTTGGGATCCGAGGAGGGGGAAGGGGTGGGGTAGGGGTGAGGGAAGGCAGAGAGGTGGGAGGGCAACCGAAGGCACGATCGAAAAGAGACCGGCCTTGAAGGAGGTAAAGGACTGTGGGATGGAGTTCCAGAGTGTGGGGGCAGAGAGGCTGAAAGCCCAGCCACCGATGGTAGAGCGGGTCGGGCGGGAGACATGGAGGGAGCGGGCAGATTGGTAGGGTGTCAACAGGTCAGAGTGGTGGGAGGGGGCAAGGCCATGGATGGCCTTGAAAGTGAGGACGAGGATCTTGAATTCGATCCGCTGGGGGATGGGGAGCCAGTGGAGTCGGGCGAGGGTGGGAGAGATGGGGTCACGGAGCCTGGTGCGCAAGAGTACACGAGCTGCAGAGTTTTGGATGATCTGCAGTTTGTGAAGGGAAGAGTTGGGAAGGCCGATGAGGAGGGAGTTTCCATAATCGAGCCTTGAGGTGAAGAATACGTGGGTGAGGGTTTGGGCAGCCTGAGGGGTGAGGCAGTGGCGGAGTCTGGCAATGTTGCGGAGGTGGTGGTAGGCAGTGCCGGGAGCCGGGAAATAACATCTCCCCCGATCCTCCCCACCGACATTGGAATAATGGCAACCCCAAACCTGGTTGAGAAGCCCTGGGTTCTGCCACCTTGGATGATGGTTAGAGGGGGATCATTCTCAAGCAGCAAATAAAAAGATCTCTCCAACTTTAACCAACAACAACTTGCATTTATATAGCGCCCCTCACGCAGGGTAGCGTCCCAGAGCACTTGACACTGGTGTAGCACAACACCAAGTTGAGGGAGATGACCGTAGGCACGGTCAAAGAGGAAGGCCTTCAGGCGTAACCTGAAGATGGGGAAGGAAGGGGCAAGGTGGAGGGATCGAGGAAGAGTGTTCCAGAGTTTTGGGGCATAGCGGCTGAAAGTGTGGCCACCGGTGGTAGAACAGTGGGCACGAGGGACATGCAGGAGGCTGGAGCTAGTCAAGAGGAAAGGTCCCTGGGTCTTACTTTGAACGACAACATTTTCAGTACAAACTCATGCTACTATATTCGAAAGTGGAGATGGGGCAAGTTTCTGAACACATTTTAACGCCGTTCATTAATAGTGACATTCCACTAAAATAAATGTGGCCACTCAATCCGCGACTGTTTGTGGGACTCCGCTGTGCACAATTGGCCGGTGAGTTTCCCCCACAAAATACTTTACAATATATTCTGTGAAGCGCCTTGAGGAGCCTCAACAATGTGCTAAGGCGCTGTATGAAACGCAAGGATTATAACTCAAGACCGGAATATCACTCCATCTCACTCCACATCCAACCTCCCAAACCACCTACAGGAACAATGTGGGTGGGAGCAGACGTAAGAACTTGTTGGCGAAAGAAGACCCAAGGTCTATCCAGTTCGCCTTCCACCACCCTGGCAGTCGCACGTCATGTCCCAAACTATATATTGTATCCTGAAATATTTATAAGGATAAATATCCTTATTTTTGCTGGACAATTTCTTCATCTTGTTCCCCATCACAGAAAAGAATCTGGTGTGTTACCTAGTTTTGTTTGTAGCCTTGCCCATGCATTTGACGAACAGCATTTCATTTCCTGGGGTGATTTTCAGGGCGGAGGAGTTGGCTGCACAAAACACGTATCTGCAAACATAAACCCAGAGGTTAGTTACAAGAGTAGGTGGAGCATGCAATGGGGAGAGATCAGGGAATGGGGTTAAGAGTACAGAGCTCCAGCACAGATACGATGGAGGAGAATAGAGATTGGGGTTAGAATAGAGAGATCCAGTTAACAAGGGTTCAATGACCCCCTCTTCTCTCCCCACAAAACTCCCCCTCCCTCCTTGGTCAACAGCAATTGGAGCTTCGTTTCGCCCACAAAATATACAGTCAATTCACTTTACAGTATAGTCTGTGAAGCGCTTTGAGACGTCTCGAAGACTTGATAAGGCTCTAAATCAAATGCAAGGATTATTATTATTATTATTACTACTCACTTTTTCTGCAATTCACCAGATTTGATGCGAAGTTTTCTGATCTCCATCTCGGGCATGTCGTTGTGTGTCGTCTTGGAAAAGAAGTTTGTGATCCTTCCCCACAGCGAACTCCACGTGTTAGCCGTTCCCTCCCATCTCAGCTTAATCCTCAGCAAGTCCCCAATGTCATCCTCACAATACACCAGGAAAGAGTTGGTCTGGTTTATGGAGAAATTTTCTGCCCTGGAAATCACACAGGAGGGGGTGGGGTGGGTGGGGGGAACGAATTAAAAATCATAAAAATCACAGAAATCACAAGATATCATAGACTTCACAAGGGTGGGGGAGGGGGGGGGAATCGTAAAAAAAAAAAATCGCAGAAATTCCCCCCAAAATCATTGAAATCAGGGGAAATTGTAAAAAAAATTAAAGGAATCAGGAGAATTGCAAAAAATTCATCCAAAAAACACAAGATTTTTTTTTTTGGTGGTGGGGGTGGGTGGGTGTAACGTCAATGTGATGGAGAGCGGGGAGGACAGTGTGGCTGATCCAAGCCGGGGTCACAATCTAATCACAGGAAAACTTTCTTTGGGGTCTGTTTTACACCTTCCCACTCACCCCACATAATCCCAACTACCCACCCGACACATAATCGCCCTCAACTCCAACACAAAACACACCCTCGTCTCTCCCCCCCCAAACACACACACACACACAAACAATCACCCTCATTCCCCACTCCCCCCCCACACAAGCACTCTTCATACCCACACAAAAAAAAATTCGGAATCACAAGCACCGCACGCACACACAATTTCTCTCATCCCCCACCTCCCCCGAACCCGCACATAATTCTGGTTACGTACATTTTGATTACCAACTGTTTGCCGTCACGAGTGGTGCCGTGGAATCTGACGGAGAGTTTGGGTCTTGGGTCAGACAGGGGGGCCGAGCCGAAGGGGTGCATTTTCAGCTGGTAATGATACACTGATAGAGAGAGAGGGAGAGAGTTAAGAGGCACAGCAACAACAACAACGTATATTTACACAGCAGCTTTCACGTCGGGAGGACGTCCCAAGGCGCTGGACAGTCAGAGATTTGGACCCGAGCTGAGGGTTGGGAGTAGGAGGGATGGAGGGCAGAGAGGGTTGAAGGATACAGTCAAAGAGGAGGGTCTTGAGATGTGCTTGGAAAGAACCAAGGAGGGAGCGAGGTGAAGGGGATGGGGATGGAGTTCCAAAGCTGATGGCCTGACCGCCGATGGTGGAGCAGGATGGAGCTCACTGAGTGGAGGGCACGGATAGAGTTAGGGGCGAGAGCATTAGCTGCAGCCTGAGCCAGACATTACCTCTGAAGGGCATGTCAGCCCTGGTCTTCAGGTACATGGGTGCCTTGGGTTTGTTGCGGACGCGGTTGACGTTGTAGCCCAGCTTGTTGCAGCGGTTCTTTCGGCAGCTCAGACACAGGCCCTTCTCAAAGGTGTCGGTGTCTGAGCAGCGATACGCCAGGCTGGTCTTGTCCTGGTTCAGCAGAGAGTCGACAAACAGCTTGACCGAACGCACATGCTCACAATGCACCACATCCCACAGCTCTGCCGCCATGCACGAGAGAGAGAGAGAGAAAATTCCAGTGAGTCCCAGCCTTAACTGTCATTTATTTCAATGGGTTAATCAACCACAGCCAATACAGATCTGTTAAAGGCAAATCATAGAATAATACAGCACAGATGGAGGCCATTTGGTCCATTGTGCCTGTGCCAGGTCTTCGAAAGAGCTACCAACTGGCCCCACTCCACCACTCTTACCCTATAGACTTAATCCATCTACACAACATCAACCCACTCAATCAAGTTTATTAGTCATTTGAGGCCAAAGGGCCGATTGGCTTCCATCTGTGCTGTAATATTCTATAAATTTACCTTTAACAGATTGCCGTGTTGGCAGTGATTGATTAACCCATTAACCGAGGCCTCCTACTGTACTGTAAGATTCTATTATTCATCATCCTCCCATTCCCGGCCCCCGCCCCAGTGTTGTGAAGAGCCCGTTGTAGCGACAAGATAAATATTTGCTGGCAACGAAGAACGCTGACCAATATTTCACGTGTCCCCCCACACACTGAAACTCCCACTTCCCCCAACCTAACTCCTGCTGTGGGACACTTCAGTGCACACTTGGCTACCACGTTTCACCAACGAAATACACAGTCAATTCACTTTACAGTAGATTCCGTGAAGCGCTTTGAGACGTCTCGAAGACATGATGAGGCGCTGTATCAGATGCAAGGATTATTATTGTTATTATAATCTGAAGCACTTTGAGACGTCATTATTACTCATAAAATTAACAGAAGTACTCACGCCCGAAGGAGATGGATTTCAGGACGTCCTGCAGACCACACCCGGGCTGGTAGCCCCCACCGTTGGGGTAAACGTCCACGTGGCCCACGGCCTCCTGGATGCCAATACTGACCCCCAGGGCGTTCTGCGAGAACGTGTGCAGGACGTCGACGAAGTCCGCGTCGTCAGGTGACAGGCGATTATCTTCCGCAACCCCCTCAAACATGGGCCCAGCTGGGTCCAGCCCTGGAGAGAGAGAGAGAGGAAGAGTGATCAGTCGGATGCCTGACCCACAAGGAAACCCATCGTCGTAAACGTCACCCACATATGCAAATTCTGAAATGGCAGCTCTCCCTGGAAAGACACACCTTGCTTACCTAATTTGGGAGAGTATTAGGCAGGTTGGCCACAGCCCAGCTTTGGCGGTGGAGCGTGTGTTGGATAACTGCTGGAGTCTGACCAGCTAACACTACGTAGCTTGCCACTGATACTGTTTGGCACGCTTTCCCGCTGCTTGTCTAGCTTGGCCCACCTTTGGAGCTTTGGCTTGCAGGGTTAACAGGAGCTGAGTGGGAAGAATCCCTACCCCCAGTGGCTGGTCTGCCTTTCCAAGCCCTATTCATGAGCCAGGCCGGGCTAGTGTATATATATATATATATCTCAGCCGTGCCCTGGAATACTGCGGACCTGCATAGCTCAAGAACTGGACGATGTAACTGGACATGCTGCTGCCAAACACGTCTTGAAACCAGTTCAGCTCCAAGGAAACCGCACTTACCTTCCCTTCCCCCACTTTACTAATCCAAGTCCTGATCACACAACCTCCTCAGACTCAGAGGCGAGAGTGCTACCTGGCTGAGCCAGCCTGACACACTGTTATTACAGACTAATGATTATTATTATGTGATTAAAGTTAAAATCACGCGTTAGAGGTCATTTCTAACTGGTTTTCGGTGAGGAGTCAGCCAGCAATAACACTGCCACGTTACACGTGAATCGATATCACTTTTCTTAGTATGTTTGAACTTCCTAAAGCAGTTACTTGGTATTTTGTCAAGCCATCGGAATAGTCTTATTAATGCTCCCAGTTCCACCCATGATTATAGAAACTAATTTGTTGATCAATATAGTTCCTAATTTTTCTCTCGTTCATTTATTACGTTGTAATCCCTTGGGATAGCCACAACAATAATGTGTGGACGTACAATCTATTTGATTTTTTCTGATAATATTATAGTAACAATGATAATCCTTTTGTATAGCGCCTTATGACATCTTTGAAACGTCTCAAAGGGCATCACAGAATATATATTGTGAAGTGGATTGACTGTGTATTTGTGGGCGAAACATGGCAGTTGTCCCACAAACAGTCTCGATTGAGCAACCACATTATTATTTTATATACCTATTTCTTTAAGAGATTATTACCCCCAAAAAGCGATCAACAATTGACTAACAACCGAGTTCCTACTTACTGCTGGGTAAGAGGTGTGCGGAGTAAGTAAATTTGCCCAAGGTTTCGCCCTGCCAGGGAATCAAACCCATGTCCTTTTGCTGGCGAGTCAAACGCTCTAACCAATAGGAGTCCTGTAGCTCAGCAATTGCCTCGCAAGCGAGAGACCTGGGTTCGATTCCCGGCAGGGCGAAACCTTGGGCAAGTTTCTTTACTCCAACGCCTGATAATAATCCCTCAAGAAAAAAAAGAAACAATAATAAAATTGTTCACTTCAATCCGCGACTGTTTGTAGGACGCTGTTGTGCGCAATTGGCTGCCGTGTTTCACCCAATGCAATAATTATTATTATGATGATGATACAGGACTCAACATCTGGTTTGTTATAGCTGATTATCTTGCCTGTATGTACTTGTCATTAATTATTATTATTAGTAAGCACTGGGAGCACAGACATGATGGGATGAACAGACTCCCTGCACATTGCCACGAGAGAACAAGGGGAGGAGGTCGAAGGAAATTAAAATGTTTAGGAGTTTTTCCTCATGCCCGATGCTCTTACCGGTGATCCGGCCGATTTTCCCGGCTCTCTGCTGCAATGCCCCACCGGCAAAACCGGCGACGTGGGCTCCCAGGCTGTACCCGATCAAGTGGACCTTGTGCAGGGGCAGCTCTGACATCACCTGCACAACAGGGTTTACACTTACGTTCTTCCCTCAACACCTCTCCCCTCCACCCCCCCCAAACCCTCCACGACAACCCCTACCCCCACCTCCAGTTCCGGCCCTTCCCTCTCCAAAACCACCCACCCTATAGCCGCCCACCCGCCCACCAAGAGCCAGTTCCTCCTCCTCCTCCCACCCACCCCACAGAGCCATCCCCTCCTCTTGTTGACCCCTACCCCACCTTCCCCCAGAGCAGGCAACCCTCCCCCAACACACACGCCCTACTCTCCAGAGCCAGCCCCATCCCCCTAGAATTGGCCCCTCCCCCCAGAGTCAGCCCCATCCCCCCCAGAGTCAGCCCCACACCCCCAGAGCCAGTTCCACCCCTCCCAGAGCCACCCACTCAATCTGGCCCCTGCCCCATGATCCGACCTCTCCGCCACCCTCTTCCGCGCCAACCCAGACCTGAGCACCCGGCTCCCTTTCCCCGAAACTGCTTTGGCATGCAGCGAGCTGGTGGAGGCGGGCGAGGACGGGGAGGGAGGGGGGAACGAGGATAATAGCCGAGCTGGATGTTGGGGCCAGTGATGCCAGCCTGAGGGTTTACCTGGAGCCACTCCACCATCTTGCCGATCTCCGTGCCCACACGCCGGGTATTGTTGGCCGCGGTGATGTAAGTCTGGTGAGCGCTCATCAGCCAGTCCACCACAATCACATTGGAGCCCTCCTCTCGGTCCCCCAGTGCCTTGGCCATATCCGCAATCCAGCTCTCAAACAACCCAGTCGTCTGTGAAGACATTATAATAATTATTAATAATAATCCTTGCATTTGATATGGCGTCTTATCTCGTTGTCCAGACAACAACAACAAATTACATTTGTACAGCTCCTTTCAAGTCGGGAGGACGTCCCAAGGCACCAAACAGCCTGGGGGCGGAGAGGGAGGGAGCATGAACGAAGACACGGTGGAAGAGGAGGTTCTTGAGATGGGCCTTGAAGGGAGGGAGCGAGGTAAAGGGAATATGGGGTAGAGGTCCAGAGGGTGGGACCGGTCGGGCAGGGGATGTGAAGCAGAGGGAGCTGATGTCTCAAAGCGCATCCCAGAATATATTGTAAAGTGAATTGACTGTTTATTGTGTTGGTAGCCAATTGCACACGGCAGCGTCCCACAAACAATCGAGCATTGAGTGACTACATTTTTTTTTAAATATATTTTTTTAAGCGATTATTACCCCGGAAAGCGATCACCAATTGACTTAACAACCGGGTTCCTACATACTGCTGGGTAAACAGAGGCGTGTGGAGTACAGAAACTTGCCTGGAGTTTGGCCCTGCCTGGGAATTGAACCCAGGTCCTCTCGCTTGCGAGGCAAGTGCTCTAACCAATTTCAACCACGAACTACAGTCAATTCACTTTACAATATAACCTGTGAAGTGCTTTGAGACATCTCAATGACGTAATAAGGCACTTTATCAAATGCAAGGATTTTTATTATTACTATAGGACTCTTAACGCTCTCTCCTTTTCTCTCACTATCTCGGGGACGATGAGAAGAGCAGAGTGGTTTGACTCCTCCTCTACATTACATTTCAGCGGTTCCTCATCGATTGGGATGGATGCAATCGCTACTCACCGTCCAGCCGTGGATGATGAGGAAGGTTTTGGAATCCTTTTTGAAGTTACACTCTTCCAGGCTCTTGCCCACCCCTGGCCTGAGGTCACACTCCTTCGGGCCTGACTTGTCAGAGACGCTGAGTTTGAATTTTGTCTGAATGTCGCTGTAGTTCATAGTCACCTCATCATTGGAGGGCCCCTTAGCTACAATAAGAGACACCGGAGGTCAGGTCACACACCCGAACACCACGTACAAAGTCTACATGAAATTGAAGGAAAATATTATTAATAATACTTGCATGTTAATCACAATAATAATCCTTGCATTTGACATTGGACCTTATCACATCTTCGAGATGCCTCAAAGCACTTCACAGATTATATTGTAAGGTGAATTGACTGTATATTTTGTGGGCGAAATGTGGCAACCAATTGCGCACGGCAGATTTTTTTAACTACTAGGTAAACATAGGCATGTGGAGAAAGGAAACTTGCCCAAAGTTTCGTCCTGTTTGGGAATCAAATCCAGGTCCTCTCCCTTGCGAAGCAAGTGCTCTAACTGTTTTTATTGCAACCGGGGGTAATAATTCCTTCCTCTCCAAAAATAAATAATAAATAATAATTTAGTCAAGCAATCTAAGACTGTCTATGTCTCAATCACATTATAAGACGGTATATCAAATGCAAGGATTATTATTTAACATAGCACCTTATCAGGTTGTTAAGAGGTCTCAAAGCGCTTCACAGAATATATTGTAAAGTGAATTGACTGTGTATTTTGTGGGCGAAACGCGGCAGCCGACTGCACACAGCAGTGTCCCACAAACAGTCGTGGATTGAGTGACCAAATTATTATTTACGGAAGGATTATTACCTCTGGAAAGCAATCCGCCAATCAACTAACAATCATGTTTCTACTTACTGCTTAGGTAAATAGAGGAAACAGAGGAAATTTGCCTACGGTTTCATCCTGTCCAGGAATCGAACACACCGCTTGCGCGGGGAACTCGCTAACCACTACACAACACCATTCAACAACCTGAAAATGACTCCCCCCGCCTTCCCCCCCCTTCCCCCGCTTCTTTGTGTGTGTCTCTGGCTGGCCTTTATCAGCCAAGGTTGTGTGTTGACTACAGAGAGTAACTGATCACCACAGTAAGTTGTGGTAGCCAGTTGCTCTAAAGAAAGAGAGTATTTTTATTTCACGTTAAAACTACTCAAAATGCTCTCCAGCTCTTCCAGTTTTAGTGTAATGGCTGCTTTCGTCCCCTCACATGTACCCATGAGTGAAAGGCCAATCCTATCTACATATTTCTGCATATTTTATCCACAGAGTCCACTTTACAGTATATTCTGTGAAGCGTTTTGAGACATCTTGAAGATGTGATAAGGCGCTATATCAAATCCAAGGATTATTTATATTTCTATCTAGAACATTATCAGCCACGAGACTGGGAAATTTAACATCCACCTAAACAAACAGGACCTCGATTTATCTGAAGGATGGCAGTGCAGCATTTCGCAGGAATTACTGTAATGTGTAGTGACAGTGTATTTGTAAGTAAAAAAGGCAACCAATTTGCGCACAGCAATGTCCCACAAACAACCGGGAGAAGAGAAACCCTCTTCTCTTTTCCACTAGTCCACTCTTTTAACATTCTCCTGAACAGGACCTCGGTTTAATGTCTCATAAAAAGAATAGCTCCTCAAGCACCGCAAGGGACGGAAACAAAAGTGATAATAATATTGGACTGAGACAGCAAGAAACACTTTCAATTTCAGGTCCGGATATCCTTGACCAAATGCTTTATCTCAGCTGCGGTTACACTGAAATTAAATAATTTCTTTCAACAACTATTTTAAAGAACAATTCGTTGGGGAAATCACAAAGTGAAAGCAGGTACTGATTGCACAGTTTCTATTACATTGATAAGAGAGATAATAGTTTGATAATAGTTACTGGAGCTAATTCACCCACGCTTAGAAAGAGGAATCCTGTAGCATAGCGGTTAGAGAAAAGCGAGATTTGATTCCCGGGAGGGGTGGAATCTTAGGCAAGTTTCTTTACTCCACACACCTCTGTTTACCAAGCAGTAAGTAGAGTGTTAATCGAATTGACTGAGGGGTAATAATACCTTCAACAAAATAAATAAAAATTTGGTCACTCAGTTGGGTGAGACATTGCTGTTGGCTGCCACGTTTCGTCCAGAAAATATGCAGTCAATCCATTTTACAATATGTGAAGCTCTTTGAGACGGTTTAAAGACGTGATTAATAGTCAATCTAGTCCCAGATGAAATCCTTCAGATGAGATGTTAAACCGAGTTCCAGTCTGCCTGTTCCGGTGGACATTAAAGATCCAATGGTACTATTTGAAAAGAGAAGGGAGTTTATCTCTTCCGATCTCCTAGTTAACAATCCCCCAAATCAAATTGATTGCTCACTCCCTGGCTGTTTGTGGGCCAGTACTGTGCACAATTTTTCGGCCGCATTTCCCTACAAATACACTCACTCTATGTCACATTAAGCCCTGTGAAGCGCTTTGAAATGTCCTTCCAAGGTGATAAGGCACGATATCACATGCAAGAATTATTATTATAATTCCAACACACTGAGGTTAGAAATCATGGAAATATTCAGCACAGCAGATGGCCATTCGGCCCATCATGTCCGTGCCGGCTCTTTGAAAAGAGCTATCCAAATCAATCCCACTCCCCCGCGCTCTCCCCATAGCCCTGCAAACTTGTCCTCCCCAAATAGTTATCTACTTATCTCTCAAAAGTTGTTATTGATCGGCTTCCATAAACATTTGAAACAATGCATTCCAGATCCAAATAACTCCTCACCTCCCCTGCTTCTTTTAACAACTATCTTAAATCGGTGCCCTCGGGTTATCGACCCACCCGCCAGTGGGAGTAGTTTCTCCTTGTTCACCCTATCAAATCCCCTCATCATTTTGAAAACTTCTATTAAGTCTCCCCTTAATCTTCTCTGCTCCAAGGAGAATAATCCTAGCTTCTCTACCTCTCCTGATAACTGAAGTCCCTCATTCCTGGCACCATCCTGGTCAATCTCCTTTGCACCCTCTCCAATGCTTTGACATCCTTCCTAAAGTGTGAGGGCCCGAACTGAACACAGTCTGTAGCTGAGGCCTAACCAGTATTTTATAAAGGTTCATTCTAAGATTTTTTCCCATTCCCCCACTCAAGACATCTGCATTTCCTCATAGGAACATAGGAATTACTGGACAAAGAAAGACCAAGCTCCATCTAGTTCGCCTTCTACCATCCTGGTAGTCGCTTTCTACAATAATGGAAATGTTCATAGCAATAGCCCACAAATATACAGTCAACTTTACAGTCTATTCTGTCAAGCGCTTTGAAGACGTGAAAAGCACTATATCAAATGCAAGGATTATTATATATTATAATTAATCCTGTACGGATTTGTGTACAGCAGAGTGGAAAGCTACGGGAACTTTTATTCAAGGTTGCCTGGTTCTTCCAAACATGCCATTCAAATTACTCATATACTGTAATCCCAAATATTGTTTTTTAATTTGTTCCTCAAATCTTAACAAAACAAGTCTTGGAGGTGGGGGAGGGGATGGGGAGGCTGGAGCGAAGTAGAGAAGGATAAATCACGGAGTCTTAACACATAGGAAACAACTCCTATTCCCAGCCCAACCCGGAGGGGCGGTCATTGTCACCGAAATCCCTACACAATAAAGTGGGATTAGGTGGGCTGCGGGACAGGATGCCTGGGAGGGAAGTGTTTTCTCCTACACGATTGGGGGTGGGAGAGACAGAGGTAGGTTTGGGGAGGTAACGATCAACTGAACTGCAGTCGTGGTTCGTTTGATATCCTAAGAAACGTTTTGCCTTTTTTTAAAAAAAATTCAAGACAAGTAACACTTTACATTAAGAGCATAAGAATTTGCTGCCAAAAGAAGACCAAAGTCCATCCAGTTCACCTTCGACCATCCCGGCAGTCGCTTGACATGTCATGTGTCCGAAACTATAGATTGTCATGAGTTAAAATCCTGTACAGCACTTGGAAACGTTTCAGCAAAATGACAAGGCATTATTATGAAATAAGACTGAAACTTAAAATATTTAAGAAGCTCATCGTCAAGATGGGTTGTTAAACCAACTTCCTGTTCAGATGGATGGTAAATGGCCTACAGCGTTGATGGATAAGCGAAGGGAGTTTCTCTTGGTGTTTGGCCAACAATCACAGTTCCAAAAACTTTCACTTCCTGATTGTTTTTTGCTGTGTGCAACAAATACTACACCGAAAAGCTATTCAGTCTACACTGGCACTGCTAATAGAGCGCTGGGGGAACGATGTATTGTCAGAGGTTGTGAAGTCCTTTGGATGACAAACTGAGATTCCGTCCTTCTGTTCTGGTGGACATTAAACTTCCCGTGGTACTATTGGCTGTCGCATTCAAATGTAGTCGCTATACTTTACAAGTAAATCCTGTGAAGCACTTAGATGACATGACAAGGCACGATATGAACTATAGGATTATTATTCCAGGCTAGTTTTGCTCACTGAACTGCCCACCTCTTCCCTCCACTCTGAACTCTGCAGCTTCTTGTCCTTTCCCACAGGCCTATCACCACCATCCTCACCCGGCTCCAATGGCTCCCCATCCCCCAGCAGATCAAGTTCAAGATTCTCGTTCTAACCTTTAATTACCTCCTCGGGCTTGCCTTTGACTTGCCCCCTTCCTTTGCCCCCTTCAAGGTCTGTCTCAAGACCTTCCTCTTTGCCCGCACTTTCAGGCACCTCCTCCCCCCCAGCTCGGGTGCAAACCCTGGACTGTCCTGCCCCTTTGAGACGTCCTCCCAAAGGGTGGGTGTGTACAGTGAATGATTGTCTGCCGGGGTTTGCCCACAAAATGCAGTCAATCCATGTTACAATATATTTGTGAAGTTCTTTGAGACGTCTCAACGATATAAGGCGCTAGATCAAATGCAAGCATTATCATTATTATATTACTAGCTGTACCTGTTGCAGATACACTTGCAAACAAAGGATCCAATATGAATTGTAGATTTCAGTGATACCATCACAAACCATTTAACATGCGATAAACACTGTGTGTACACCTTAAGCAAACATGTGCGATGAGCTTGTTTGGGTCATAGCTTATGAACGATAGAAGATCCTATCAAAGCTACGTGAACCGAACGTGG